ACAAAAATGTTTCACCAGAAATCTCAAAACCACACACACAAAATTATTAAGAAAGGGTATAGACTCTGGTAACCTGTTAGAAAAGGAATTTATTAATAAACACCGATTATTTAGCTCTCCCGTCTTAACACTGAAATGCCGTTCCTTCAGAATCTGTAAAAAATACTGACAAAGACACTTTAATAGTTCTGCCGCGGCCACGTAAGCACAGGTCCTCTTGAAAAGAGTCTTGCTCATTTGATCAACTCTGCAAAATAAACACTTGGTAAATTTGGGAACCACATCCTCCGCAACAGCTGATAAATGAATAGCATTCAGGTCACAACCTTCCTGGGCCTCACTCAGCTGCTGCAGAGTCAGGGGATTCTTTCCCACATCAGCACCAAGACCACTTCTCCAACCGAGTTCTGGTTGAGCCGGTTCAGCACTGCTCCGAGCCTCCTGCAGGTCAGACTCAATGAACAGGCTCCCCAGGCCCAAACCATCACCACAGTGTGCAGAAGGGTCACAGGGAGGCACAGCTCCTGCCTTGCTCCCCTGTTTAGTCTTAGAGCACACTGAAAAGTTTTCAGGCACTGTTGCTCCAATTAGGTCATTACCACCTTGTAAAGCAGGGTCCTGTAAAACCAAACATTCCTCACTTTTGAGGAGTCCCACAACGTTGTTGCCTAGTAGAAGGTCAACTCCTGCAAAAGGTACATCTTCTGCAATACCTTCAGGTAGGTACCCAGACTGGTACGCAGACTCTACCCATAACCTGTGCACTGGAGTCCTGACAGGGACTCCAGTTATCCCTTTAAGAAAAATGTCCAATCCGGTGTAGGTGTCATCCGACACTGGCAATACACCCCTGCGAAGCAAGGTGTATGTGCTACAAGTGTCCCTCAAAGACATAACACCCGTGACCCTACCTTCATTTTGGTGTAAGGCCACAGTAGACTTACTTGAATATACCTTCATCCGAGGGTCTAAGACAGCTGGTCTTCTTTGGATACCCTGGGACAAGACTGCAATGCAAGCAACATCATGTGTAACCGGTGTATTTACTGGAGAAGCATCTGCCGCAGCCTGGTCCCTAAGCATTTTTCGACAATATGGCTGCAGGTGGCCCTGTTTATTGCAATATGTACAGTGATAAGGTTTAAAAGCCCCCTGCACACTTGACATAGGCTGGGGCTCATGATCTTGGGGAACTGGACTCTTTCTACCTGTCCCTGGTAGTCCTGGACCTGTGACAACTGACTTAAAACCTTCTCGGGTAGGTACTGGAAAATTAGGCTTATGAAAACTCTGGTGGTTATTAGGCTGATAAATGGGTGGCTTACACTTCTGAAATTTCTTATTCCTATTGGTGGGTGGAGAAAACTTATCATTATTAGTATGTGGGGGGTGGTAATTACTACCAAATTTTTGGTTAGCTAAAAATCTGTCACCCAGCTCTAAAGCATTATTAAAATCATCAAGATCCTTCTCCTCAAGATATGCCTTAAGGTCAGGAGGAACATTTCTCAAAAGATCCTCTAACAAAATTAAGGTAATTACACTTTCATAATTGCCTACCACCCCCTTTGAGCGACACCACCTATTTAGAAGTGACATCTTCTCCTTGCCATATTCCACCAAAGACTGCCCTGACTGAAACTTTAGTCCTCTAAACTTCTGCCGGTACCTTTCCGGCAACATTTGATAAGCCAGTAAAACTACCTCTTTTAGCTTATGATACAGCGCTGTATAGCCCTTGTGGCTTAGCGCTTCTTTTTGATTATAATAATAATAATAATTAGCTTATGATAATCAGAAAAGGCCAGTCCTTCTAAGGAACTAATGGCCTGTAACCCTTTACCAACTAATTGGGTTCTTGCTAATGTCGCCCATTCCTTTTCCGACCAAACTTGGGATTTGGCCGTACTTTCAAATAACAGAAAAAGCTGGTCTGGGTCTTTCTCTAGGAATTTGGGCACAAATTTTATGGCTTTATCCAAATGAAAAACATCTACCCTCGTGCCTGTGTCTGGGTGAGAAGCAAGCTGCCTCTCTTTAGCTCTTTCTTGAGCCCTAAGCTCCTCTAAGGCTCTATGTTCCTGGATCTTTGTACGCTCAATCCTTAACCGTTCCTTTTCTTCCGCAACTAGGGCTAATTTCATTCGTAAAATTTCTACTTCCTTATCCAGGTCCCTAACATGGGAATTTGATTCAATATCACCTTCCAAATACATGACATCCCCAGAACTTTCACTAGTGTCAGCCATTTTGAGAAATAATAGCACCAAATCTTGCTATTAGCCACAGAACTTACTTATATAAAATAATAAAGCACATAGCAAAGTACATACACTGAAATGGTATATTCACAAGGAGTGATTGTCATGTGACTCCCCAAAATTAAACAGGATTGCACACAAGAAAATCCTGGCAGAAAAAAATGGAGCTACTGCACCTGCAAAGGAAAATTATTCCCAGAAATTTAGGTAAACATAACCCCCTAAAAATCAGCAAGTTTGTACCTGCAAGGGTAAATTATACACAAACTATCAGGTATTAATAACACCCTAAAAATCAACAATATGGCACAGAAAGGTAAATTATTCACAGAGTATTAGTTTATAATAACACCCTAAAAACCAGCAATATTGCACACAAAGGTAAATTATTATTTTAGTGTGAGTGTTATAGTGAATGCTTCCTCTGACCCCCTTTGTTACGCAGAAATGTGGGATAGCTGGGCTTGAACCTTGTCTAAGGGCAAAGGTAAAAGTTACACACATCTCAAGCATAAACAGGCCACCCGGGGCTATCCCAGTCAAAACAGAAAGCGCTAAACCAGTATGTGTTACTTCAATGGGTTGGTTAACAGAGGGTTAGGCAATAATCCCAGTTAGGAAAATATATCTATTTATTCAACATAACACTATATACACACTCTAGAAACACCTTAATCTTAAATGCCCAAATGAGGGTACACAAGAAACAGCTGGCTGGAGGTCCAGCCACCATAACCACTAGGCCTAGTCAGTGCCAGGCCATCTCTACTCCACTCCCAACCTCATTTCTTATTTCCTCACTCATCTCACAGCACCCTGACCATGTCAGAGCCTAGGTGGGCATACAGGTAAGCCATAGAAGAACCTATGGTTTGAATTGGCTAAACAAAAGGAGTACACAACTACAAACTTAGCTTAAACACACAGCATCTCCGACGCCAGCCTCCACACCATGCTGCCTCCACGTGACTGCCCCAAGCCACGCTTACCCAGCGTACCCAAAGATAGTTGGAAAATAAATCCCTAGCAGGATTTCTATATAATTATAGTTTAACCTACTTTACAGTACCCCCAAAAGCACAATATGAATTATAAAATTATTCTTTACAGTTATAACATTCATACTATTATGACACACTTCTCCACTATATGTACATTACAATGTCATGCAGAACCCTGCAAAACACCAAACCACTCCATAATCCGGCAAACTCACTAATCCGGCACACTACGGGCCCCAGTGAGGCCGGATTAATGATGGCTGACTTGTAGTAATTATGGACAAGGTAGACTATAGGGGAAAAATAACATATTAGAAGACAGGGAAACTGACATGTCCCTTAAGGTTTTGCTGTATACTGAATGTTATATTTGAGAGTACCTCATTAGTATGTTAGCACACTTCTGGTAAGGCAGTGATTGATTGAATGATGGTGAATGTGTTTCCTCTGTGGGTCGCTTTACTTTGGTAAGACAGAGCCAGTGTGGTGAATAATGTGTAAATGTAATGTGAAGTTATAGTGTAGTACATGATTAAGGTAAGATTTTGTAAGGATATAGGGGTTTAGGTTAATACAAAATGTATTCGTGAGAGAATCCCATGGCCATTAGCATCCTCAGAAAAAAAAACAACTGACTGGGAGCTTGTGGAGTCTGGGCATGACTCTTGCTCTCTTGACCCCTTCCCCCCCTCCCCTCCTCCCTCCCCATCCCCCCCTCCCCCCCCTCCCCCCTCCCCCTCCCCCTCCTCCCTCCCCCTCCCCCCTCCCTGCCCCCTACTTCAGGGAAAGTTCCGGTAGATGGCCTTACCTATGCTATTAGGTGATGTGAGTATTTAGTACTCTGCTTGAGAAATCAGCAGAAAAGTACAAGTCACACTTAACTCCACAATTTAGAAAGCATATTTTAGACTGTTGCCTAACGATTCCTCTCTAAACTGTTGATTAGTGTGTACGAGCAAAAATTATGAGGTTTAATCTGGACTAATAGAGGAGTGAATGGAGACAAATGATTTTTAATACTTGACGTGCTGTTGGAGTGTGAGCAAAGTAACATTTATGAAGGGGTTCAGGGAAACCGGCAGGCCGGACTTGAGTCCTGGAGATGGGAAGTACAGTGCCTGCACTCTGAAGGAGGGGTGTTAATATTGCAGTTTAAAAACTGTAGTGTAAAGCATCCTTCTGGCAAGACAGTGATGGAGTGAATGATGGTGAAAGTTTTTCTTTTTCGGGCCAACCAGCCTTGGTGGGAATTGGCCAGTGTGTTAATAAAAAAAAAAAAATAATGGAGGAGGTTGTGAGTGATAGGCTTTGCTGGAAAAATGTTTGGTTTATATAATTCTGGAAGAGAATTGGTTTATTCTTTATATTTAATACAAGTGATGAACAAATCTACAGCTGCTGCAGGATATATTCTTGCCTAGACTGGCCATGAAGACTTAAACTAATTTCAAGGTTATGAATGTGTTCTCTCAAGTTAGCTCTACTAAGTCTTTGGTATAGGATTCCAATAAGCTTTTAATTCTTTTTTTTTTTTATCCATAGATTTTCAAAATTAGGAATGCATTAACTGTTATTCAGTAGCTTCTTGCCAGAAGTATGCCAACTTTACATTTCAATTTGGATTGTAACCGACATTCAAAATTTGCCCATTTAACTATAGTAGCTCATGTATTACGGCCTCTGAGGTGACGCTGCTTGATTTTGGAGTGATTTGCTTTGACACGGCATATACTTTCAGGTGACATAGACACCAGAACTTTTGTGAGACCCAAGAAGAAAAGGTCTCAGTTTGGTGAGGCCGTAAATGACGAAAACCGCAACTCTTTACTGAGGAGAGGTTTGTATAGCTGTCTGCCTTTGTTAAGTCTTTAAATGTTGCCTTGCCTTCTGTTGGCTCAGAGGACTAGTGACAAGAAATCTTATGTGTACTAATGGAAAGCTGTCTTTAGAGACTGAAATATAATCAGCCCAGAAGGTGGAATCATTATCATTGTTGTTGGTAATTGATTTAAAATAATATTTAGCTAAGTAAAGAGTGCATGTCTGTACTACAGTCTAGTAAATATTGTATATCTTGAATCATCTTATTTATGATATGAGCTGGCTGAATATAACTACGTACTTGTAACTACTTACCTTGTACATTTAACTCTCATCCACATAGTATAACACTACTTACCACTTCATCTTTCCACCTGTCATCCACATTACTTATCACACTACTTATCGCTATCTTTCCACCATATGTTTAATCATTCTTTTGATTTCCTTGTACACTTCTTATTGCTTCCATTTTCATTGTAAAAAAGTGAACAATTTAATTTCTTTTCTACTCGCTATACCGCATAATTTCTCATCCTGTCTTTTGGTACCCCAGACATAGGTTTTGAGGAAGGATAGGCAAGTTTTATTTGGTAACTTTTCTCATGATCGGCAGACAGAGGATCAAGCCTCCACGGGGCTGATCGCTGATCAACTTATATAGGTTTAATCTTCACATTAAGTAACTGCATAAATAGATGTCTTCACGCAGACACAAATCCTCAAAAAACTCTTGTTTCCAGTTATTATTGTAAGAAACACATTTGACATTCAAGAGATCTCTGTAAAGTAGATAAATAGTTCGGAAAACTGATAAGTTGACAAATTAGGCACGTGTACAACACTTGGGTATCTTTATTGTGGAAGCATTTTTGCCACACAGTGGCTTCATTAGTCCAATACAAGGAAGAATAGTGAAGATCAGAGGGAGAGTGAGGTAATCAGTCCCTCAGCCTGGAGTCGACGTAAGCAGTCCATCAATCTTGATAAGAATACAGCTGATATGCATATTAGCTGTATTCTTATCAAGACCGATGGACTGATTACATCAATTCCAGGCTGAGGGACTGATTACCCCAATCTAACTCTGATCTTCACTAATTTGTTTTGGACTGATGGTAAATGTTTCCACAATACAGATTTTTATTATTTTATTAACACATTGGCCGATTCCCACCAAGGCAGGGTGGCCCGAAAAAGAAAAACTTTCACCATCATTCACTCCATCACTGTCTTGCCAGAAGGATGCTTTACACTTCAGTTTTTAAACTGCAACATTAACACCCCTCCTTCAGAGTGCAGGCACTATACTTCCCATCTCCAGGACTCAAGTCCGGCCTGCCGGTTTCCCTGAACCCCTTCATAAATGTTTCTTTGCTCACACTCCAACAGCACGTCAAGTATTAAAAACCTGTGTCTAATTTGTCAGATCTTCCTAAGATATGCCTTAGGTTAACTGCTCTCACTTCACCATTTCACAAACTAATATTGTTATGATTTTAACATGTATATATACACATTTTCTCCATGAGGAAGTGGAACAGAATTCTTCCTCCGTAAGCCATGCGTGTTGTAAGAGGCGATTAACATGCCAGGAGCAAGGGGCTAGTAACCCCTTCTCCTCTATACATTACTATGGTTAAAAAGAGAAACTTTTGTTTTTCTTTTTGGGCCACCCTGCCTAGATGGGATACAGCTGGTTTGTTGAAAGAAGATTTACACATTTCTGCTCATGCAAAAGTATATTATGTTACTTTCTATCAACAAAGGTGAGAATATTATAGTTTTACCAACTTCAGGTTTGATGTTTTAAGTTCCTATTTCTGTCTGTGTGTATAAAGCTGTTGTTTTGCACTGCTTTCTATATTGAAATTATTGCATAGGCCTAACAATACTAGAATGGCAAGAATGTAAAGTATTATATAAAAATTCATCTTTCACGTAAGATTTTTTTTTTTTGTCTTTAGGCTAAGACCTCTGAAAACTTGCTTCCTCTCTTTTATTGAAAGTGATTTAAAATTTATGTACATAACATATTTTCTGACATATAAGGTGTGCCTTTTTTTTCCCTACAAAAAGTCTTGCAAAATCAACCTGTACCTTATATGCTCAAGGTCAGGGTCAAGGGTAGGCTTTGTGTTATGCTGTAGCAGTTGTTTACTAACATTATGTTCCGAGTTTTTCACCCAGCTCTTTGAGGAACTTTTGAACACACTTGCCCCATGCTCCAAGAGTCTCTGACCCTATTGGGTAATATTTAGTGAAGGGATTCAGGGAAACCGGTTATTTTCATATAGTCGGACTTGAGTCCTGGAAATGGGAAGTACAATGCCTGCACTTTAAAGGAGGGGTTTTGGTATATTGGCAGTTTGGAGGGATATGTTGTGTATCTTTATACATATATGCTTCTAAACTGTTGTATTCTGAGCACCTCTGCAAAAGCAGTGATAATGTGTGAGTGTGGTGAAAGTGTTGAATGATGATGAAAGTATTTTCTCTTTGGGGATTTTCTTTCTTTTTTGGGTCACCCTGCCTCGGTGGGAGACGACCGACTTGTTGAAAAAAAAAAAAAATGTTCTGACTGTTTGGAAACATCGTCTCATGCGTCTTATATGCTCAAGCGCCTTATATGCCAGAAAATACAGTAGTTGACAATGTTTCCTCAAGATGTTAGAGGTTAAAATATAATGTATGTTACAATGGTATTTTGTTATTTGTTATATAAATCATTTTTTTATAGATGGGAGTTCTCGAGAGTACCTGGCACGGTCGAGTGGATCCCTGGGGTCGGAGGAGGATGACCGCCTTAGTTCAGCTTCTGAAGGGAGCTTTTCCTATCACTTAGCAGATGTAGCAGATGTCAATGCTCTGGCTCGACTCCAAGAGGAAAGTCAGTATGACGCTCACCCGGTATTGTTTATTGTTGTGCGAAGAGTATGATAGGTAGTATGGTGGCAGCTTGATACATTTTTATATTTTTTTCAAAATTCAAAGGTTGTAATTTTTCAATCAGTACAGGTATATATATATAACATGGCAGTGACAATCCATCATATGTAATTCCTGTTAATGCATCCATGGACAAGTGGTTTTAAAAAAATAACTTCACTGGCTGAGCCTTGAACCCTCAGCCTTTAGCATGCCACTCGGGTAGCTTGTTAAAAATTCAAGGCGCCCTAATCCGCTGGTCCAGTGGATTAGCGCATCTCGAGTTTTTAACAAGCTACCCGGGTGGCATGCTAAAAATCGAGGGTTCGAGGCTTGGCATGTGAAGTTGTTATTTATGCAATTCCTGATGAATACAACAGCACTGTGTAGGGTTTTGTGGAGAAGAATCCTTCCTCGGTAAACTATGCGTGTTGTAAGAGGCAGCTAAAATGCCGGTAGCAAGGGATAATAACCCCTTCTCCTGCATAAATTACTAAATGTAAAAAAAGGAAAACGTTGTTAAGAAAGCGTTTTTTTTTCGGGTCACCCTGCCTTGGTGGGAGACAGCCTGTGTTAAAAAATAATCAAGGATATAATTCATCATTTTAATGAGTAATTTCACGAAATAAATACAGTGGAACCTTGGTTTTCGTATGCCCAAGTTTGTATGTAAAACAATAGTTATTCTCTATAAAATGTATTTTTTGTTAATATTTCCCATAAGAAATAATGTAAATCTAATTAATCCATTCCAGACACCCGAAAATATTAAAAAAAAATACATTTTATAAAGAATAACTGTAGTTTTACAAATAAACTAGGACATACAAAAACCAAGGTTCCGCTGTATTGCACGGGGCTCTTTTTTTTATTTTAATGGTGTGATATTATGGCATAGTGTCTTAAGTATTCATAATTCATTAATACCAGCTATTTAAAGTTAGGTTTGCAGTAATATATAAAATTGTCACTTTTATCTTTGAGTATAAGTGAAGGTTTTATGTGCTATTACAAAGCCAAAAATTCCTAGTGGTTGTAGCATTTACAAACTCGAGATTCCATACCACCAATCTGCCTCTTATGTCTGAAGGAACATATATATATATTTTCAGCACTGTTTTTGTCTCAGTTTGTAGTTAAGGTCTCTTGCTCTCCTTATTGTGTTAATAAAATAATGTATTCAAATTCTTGTGATTTTTTACGTAATTATCGAGTCTTCTCCTTTGCTCTTGGCTATCGATGAAGACGTTTTGGCGATTTTTAATCTTTCTTCAGAGTTCTTATTTCTTAGCTCAGGAACTACAGGAAAACCCCTGTATCCGTGGTTTCAGTTATCCACGGTTTACCTCGGCCCAAAATGAACACTTAATTTTGCTTAATAATGGCCTCTAAGTGCAAAAGTAGTGACGGCAGAAGATCTTTAATACCTAAGACAGGTTGGGAAGTGCTTCCCATCAGTGAAAAAGGGATAATTCTCCACTTACTGTCCGTAATTTATCAATTACGCATAGTAAGTAGAGAATTATCACTTTATAATAAACGAAAAATGACTTATCGAGGTTTCACAACTATGCACGGTTTCAGTATCCACGGCAGGCCCTTGGTACGTATTCCCTGCAGATACGGGGGGTCCTACTGTATTTAGTAACATGGGACTTTTTCTATATTCATTGCTTTTAGAAGCAGACACCTACTGCTGCATGCTTTAAGTCTTTATTGTGAATTGTTTTCTTAGCATTTGGAGTGTGGGCAGTTATTAAGAGATTTGGGCAGTCCAGTTAGCAGGACTTGAGTCCTGGAGGTGGGAAGCACAGTGCCTGTGTATTCTGAATGTGGGAAGTACAATGCCTGTATTCTGAATGTGAGAAGTACAGTGCTTGTATTCTGAATGTGGGAAGTACAGTGCCTGTATTCTGAATGTGAGAAGTACAGTGCTTGTATTCTGAATGTGGGAAGTACAGTGCCTGTATTCTGAATGTGAGAAGTACAGTGCTTGTATTCTGAATGTGGGAAGTACAGTGCCTGTATTCTGAATGTGAGAAGTACAGTGCTTGTATTCTGAATGTGGGAAGTACAGTGCCTGTATTCTGAATGTGAGAAGTACAGTGCTTGTATTCTGAATGTGGGAAGTACAGTGCCTGTATTCTGAATGTGAGAAGTACAGTGCTTGTATTCTGAATGTGGGAAGTACAGTGCCTGTATTCTGAATGTGAGAAGTACAGTGCTTGTATTCTGAATGTGGGAAGTACAGTGCCTGTATTCTGAATGTGAGAAGTACAGTGCTTGTATTCTGAATGTGGGAAGTACAGTGCCTGTATTCTGAATGTGGGAAGTACAGTGCTTGTATTCTGAATGTGGGAAGTACAGTGCCTGTATTCTGAATGTGGGAAGTACAGTGCTTGTATTCTGAATGTGGGAAGTACAGTGCCTGTATTCTGAATGTGAGAAGTACAGTGCTTGTATTCTGAATGTGGGAAGTACAGTGCTTGTATTCTGAATGTGGGAAGTACAGTGCCTGTATTCTGAATGTGGGAAGTACAGTGCTTGTATTCTGAATGTGGGAAGTACAGTGCCTGTATTCTGAATGTGAGAAGTACAGTGCTTGTATTCTGAATGTGAGAAGTACAGTGCTTGTATTCTGAATGTGGGAAGTACAGTGCTTGTATTCTGAATGTGGGAAGTACAGTGCTTGTATTCTGAATGTGAGAAGTACAGTGCTTGTATTCTGAATGTGGGAAGTACAGTGCTTGTATTCTGAATGTGAGAAGTACAGTGCTTGTATTCTGAATGTGGGAAGTACAGTGCTTGTATTCTGAATGTGGGAAGTACAGTGCTTGTATTCTGAATGTGAGAAGTACAGTGCTTGTATTCTGAATGTGGGAAGTACAGTGCTTGTATTCTGAATGTGAGAAGTACAGTGCCTGTATTCTGAATGTGGGAAGTACAGTGCCTGTATTCTGAATGTGAGAAGTACAGTGCTTGTATTCTGAATGTGGGAAGTACAGTGCCTGTATTCTGAATGTGAGAAGTACAGTGCTTGTATTCTGAATGTGGGAAGTACAGTGCCTGTATTCTGAATGTGGGAAGTACAGTGCTTGTATTCTGAATGTGGGAAGTACAGTGCCTGTATTCTGAATGTGAGAAGTACAGTGCTTGTATTCTGAATGTGGGAAGTACAGTGCCTGTATTCTGAATGTGGGAAGTACAGTGCCTGTATTCTGAATGTGAGAAGTACAGTGCTTGTATTCTGAATGTGGGAAGTACAGTGCCTGTATTCTGAATGTGAGAAGTACAGTGCCTGTATTCTGAATGTGGGAAGTACAGTGCCTGTATTCTGAATGTGAGAAGTACAGTGCCTGTATTCTGAATGTGGGAAGTACAGTGCCTGTATTCTGAATGTGGGAAGTACAGTGCCTGTATTCTGAATGTGAGAAGTACAGTGCCTGTATTCTGAATGTGGGAAGTACAGTGCCTGTATTCTGAATGTGGGAAGTACAGTGCCTGTATTCTGAATGTGAGAAGTACAGTGCCTGTATTCTGAATGTGGGAAGTACAGTGCTTGTATTCTGAATGTGAGAAGTACAGTGCCTGTATTCTGAATGTGAGAAGTACAGTGCCTGTATTCTGAATGTGAGAAGTACAGTGCTTGTATTCTGAATGTGGGAAGTACAGTGCCTGTATTCTGAATGTGGGAAGTACAGTGCTTGTATTCTGAATGTGGGAAGTACAGTGCCTGTATTCTGAATGTGAGAAGTACAGTGCCTGTATTCTGAATGTGAGAAGTACAGTGCCTGTATTCTGAATGTGGGAAGTACAGTGCCTGTATTCTGAATGTGGGAAGTACAGTGCTTGTATTCTGAATGTGGGAAGTACAGTGCCTGTATTCTGAATGTGAGAAGTACAGTGCCTGTATTCTGAATGTGAGAAGTACAGTGCCTGTATTCTGAATGTGAGAAGTACAGTGCCTGTATTCTGAATGTGAGAAGTACAGTGCCTGTATTCTGAATGTGGGAAGTACAGTGCTTGTATTCTGAATGTGGGAAGTACAGTGCCTGTATTCTGAATGTGGGAAGTACAGTGCTTGTATTCTGAATGTGGGAAGTACAGTGCATGTATTCTGAATGTGAGAAGTACAGTGCCTGTATTCTGAATGTGGGAAGTACAGTGCCTGTATTCTGAATGTGAGAAGTACAGTGCTTGTATTCTGAATGTGGGAAGTACAGTGCTTGTATTCTGAATGTGGGAAGTACAGTGCCTGTATTCTGAATGTGGGAAGTACAGTGCTTGTATTCTGAATGTGGGAAGTACAGTGCCTGTATTCTGAATGTGAGAAGTACAGTGCCTGTATTCTGAATGTGGGAAGTACAGTGCCTGTATTCTGAATGTGAGAAGTACAGTGCCTGTATTCTGAATGTGGGAAGTACAGTGCCTGTATTCTGAATGTGAGAAGTACAGTGCCTGTATTCTCAATGTGGAGATGTTGCAGTTGGAGGGATATATGAATTATGGCATCAGCCCACTTCTGGCAAGACAGTGAATGAATAAATGATGATGAATGTGTTTTCTTCTTTGAGTTTCCTTGCTTTGGTGAGAGAATGCTGTCATTGAGGTAAACAATACAAAATGCTATTGAACCTATATAAGTGAATACTTCGGTCTGAATATTTTGGTTACTTTTAAAATGAGACAACCGAGCAAGGGTGGTTGGGTGTCAGTAGGGAGTGCCAGGTATGAGTTAGTAGGCCTACTACAGTGCTTCTGTATTTTTAGCAAGAAATAAAGACAATGGAAATATAAACACAAATGCAGTATAATGTGATCCTGCATTTGTGTTTATATTTCCATTGTGTCGGTATTTTATACCATTTATTTCCAAGAAATAAAGACAAGCGATTTAACCCTTAAACGGTCCAAACGTATATATACGTTTTTTCAACATTTGAAAGTATGTAAAAAAACGTA